ATTTTAGAGAGAAGGTAACTGACCTGTAGTGCCATGAGCTGCCTCATTCCATCTTAACTCTCTGAAAGTAGAACCAGCTGAAGGCTACATACCCTAATTTTTTGTCAAATTCTGCACAGAACTCTAAGCTATTTCTCTTCCATCAACGGGGATACGGGCTCCGCTTAAGACAGAAAACCATCTGATACAACAGGGTGTCTATGGCAGGGAGCACTGGGCTTGGAACCATGGATCCCATAATGGGGACTATAGGAGTGATAACGTGCAAAGCTGTTCCACACCTCTGTTGAAAAGGTTCTAGGATCTGGCATTCTAGTGGAATTTCTATCAACTCCAGGCACAATACACTGTTCTCTACCACTCTGTGAACATTTACCCCACAAAACTGCCATAGTAGAATACAATAATTTCCTGTACTATTTGTCAGTCACCCACTATGCACAAAGTATCAGTTGCTTGTAAATATGTTAAAGAGTTAAAGCCAGCCTATAACCTTGCAAAGCAGATTCTAATTATCCACGTTTTTACTAGATCACAAAAGTAAATAATTTAGCTAGAATCACATGACTAGCTAAGGTGGAGATCTGAGCCCAAGCCTGTTTTGTTCCAAAGCCCATGGACCATTTTCTGCTGCCCACTAGGCTTAAGGATTTGTGTGTGTGTGTGTGTGTGTATGTATATGGATACATATATATACAAATCCTTGATGTTATTTTGTATTTACATGTTTATTTATTATTATTATTGTAAGATGAATCTGATATGCATCCCTAGAAGCCTGAGGTCTTAATGACCAAGTACAACGTAGAAACCTCCTACCTAACACATGAACAGAGACCTGAGACAGACATTTCTCCCTATGCTGACATCAGCCGTGGTAGATCCCCATTTTAAATTCATTCCTTTGAACTCCTCAGGTGTAAACGTACCTGGACATAGTACCAGGAACACAGCAGGCACTTACCATGTGGTCTCATCATTGCTAAGTTGCTTCTTAGTAATAAACCCTCAAATGCTGGGAGATGAAATATTACTAGCTTTGACGCAAAAACAAAAGTCTAGACACTGGGAGAAACACCAATGGGGCCTAACATACATCTTGGCCAACAGAGTAGGTGTCCCACCACTGGGTAAAAACAGTAGTATTTGAGCCTTACTAATATGTTCATCCTGTTTGGTCTGTATCTTATGATCCTCCACTGGAAAGAGTAATTATGGCAATATATGGAAAGCCCTGGTTTTGTAAGTGGGGTCAACTTCAAGTGACTCTGGATCTAAGTTTTCTCCTCTGTAGAGGTGCCATCCATCACCCACTCAGAGAATGGCTGTGAAAATTATAGGTACCACATCTATGGATGCGCAAACAACCCAATTAACCCTGTGGCATCTCAGCATTCCCATGGTGTCCTGTGTGTATAACTACTTCAAATTGGAGCAGATTCAGACCCCTTCCCAATCCTAGCAACACCCCGCAGTAGCTGTGTGACCTCAGGCAAGCAACCTAGCTTCTCTGAGCCTGTCTCCTCACCGCAAAAATGGAATACCACGTATCTCATGGGGTTGTTGTATAGACTAAATAAAGTAATATTTGCATGTGGCTGCCCCTGGCCTGTTATGTAGGAAAAAACTCAGGAAATACTAGTAGGGTTTAAATGTGCTTAGAACAGCTCCGACTACACACATCCTGTTGAACAGGGAGTGCGGTCAAAAATTATCATGGTCACAAGTAAAGGAGATAAGAGAAAGGAAAGTAGTGAGTTCAAATTAGAGGCGATTTTTAAAAAACCTTCCTCTTTTCAACCAATAAGGTCAACCTCTTGTTTATCAATAACACGACTTAAAAGTCAGTCTTAGTTGATTGAGCAAGCTCTGCCCCTTGCCCTCCACATCCTTCAATGAAGGTAGAAGGAATAATGACTACAGGGCAGGCAACCAAAGGGGGCCTGGGAGAGCTGAGAACTGGCTGTACTGACCTGGGCCATTTTGGTGAAAGGGGGTGGCCTCAGGCACCTTGAACTGCCAGCAGTTCTCTATCTTCAGACCTTCCTCTAACAGTTTAGAAATGAGAGGTCGCATCAAGGCACTCCCCTCAACAAGGCATGTTTCAGAATCTAACCCAAACTCTAATTACAGTTCTGAAATCCCAATCTAGACAAGCTTCAAAGAACAGCACTATTGAGCACACAGTGTGTGCCAGGTTCAATGCTAAACATTTGCCATACAATAGCTGCACAAGGGGATCATCTTATTTTTTTAACCCCATTTTGCTGATAAGGAAATTCTACTACTGGACTTCCCCCAAAGACATTCTCTAAGACTTTCAGCTGCTCCTATGTTCTCAAGGACGTAAGTCTGTATGACACATGGAAACTTCTGCCAGAGTCTTCAACTCTAATGATAGTGCTGGATTCTACAAAATTCATCACACACAATCAGCTTAGCCCCAGAGCAAACGTGGGTTTGAGAAGAGGCTGAAGCTGGGACAGGGAGACAGAGAGAAGACCTTAGTCCTTTAGAAGCACAGCCTGGCCACCTCTGATTTGCAAACACTGGCCAGAGGCTGCAGGGCAAAGTGTGCATCTTCTTTCTGCACAATTAATCTCTCCCAAAGAAAACCCAGACAAAGTCACCTGGCCCTTCTGAAGTAGGGCCGGGGGGAACCCCTCCTCCTCCAAGACTCACACTGAACTCCTATCCCTTCGTCCCCGCCCCAGGGAGTGGCTAGATGGCTGTTGTTTCTTTTCTTTTTTCCCTGTGGTCCTTCGGTAACACCACAAATTACGTTTTCAGGGACTGGAGTCCCAGAGTGCAATGATGTTGTAATAAACATAACCAGGACCAAATGCCTTCCCATCATATTAGATGATGCCATTTCCCACCAATCAGGCTCCTTGGGCAGGCAGACCACTCACCAATGAGGGACCAGACAGAGGCTGTGGGGGGGAGACCTGGTCATCTGCAACTAAAAATAAGGGCGCTTCATGATTGGCTGCTGCCACTTTGCAACAGGAGTTGGGACCCACACACCAGGCGCCACACAGAACGACCCACACAGGCAAAAACTTTCACAGCCCAGGGGCTCACATGGGTGGGCTGATCTGGGTCTGTTTGTTTTGTTTGTTTTACTAATTTGCTGACTTGATATAAGAAATAAAGACCTAATCCAGGGGGAGCCCCTCGCAGACACACCCTCCCACCTAGACACCTCGGTTTCCAAAGGCCCTTCGCAGCCACAAAAAACTGGGGGACAGGATGGGGGCGTCGGCCAGAGGCCAAGACACTCACCTGTCCGGCCGTGTCATAGAGTCCTAGGAGGTACTGCTTGCCCCCCACGGTGACGCTGACTGCAAGGACAGAAGTGGGGGCGGGGAGAGAAGCTCACAATGACCTGGGCTCTGGGGCAATTTCGCTCCCCACCCGGACCCTCCTCTCCCAACCCAGCTAGAGGCGTGGGGGCGCTCCCCGCGAGATGTCACCCCCTTTTTCCGTGCGCCCAGCTCACTGTGAACCAGCAAGGGGCCGGGGTGTGATGTGGTCCCCAGCCGTCCACCCCTTCTCCCAAGTCCCGTAGACACGTCTCGCCCGGTCCCCTCGAATGTTTCCCCTGGGGCCTCGGAGCAGTAAGAAAGGGGATGTGGGAAGGTCAAGGAGGACGGCCCGGGGCGGCGAGGGGTAGGAAGTGCGGGGAGCAGGGGCCGCTTGCGGGGCAGGTGGGAGAGGGGGTGGATCAGCGGGCGAGGGGTTGCCAGGAGCGAAGCTTCGGGGGTGGGGCCGGCCGCCTGGCAGAGGGTGCGGCGGGGGAGGGGAGAGGAGCGCGCTCGGGGGAGGCGGCGAGGGGGCTCCGCCAAAGTTGCTCCAAAGTTCCCGGCCCGGGGAGCGGCCCCTTAGTCAGCAGTTCCGAGGCTTACCTGCGTAGTGGTCGAAGACGGTGGGCACGTACTCCTCCGGGAAGGCGTCGTTGGCATAGCTCATGAGTAGGCACGTCTTGCCCACCGCCCCGTCGCCGACCACCACGCACTTGAGCATCAGCGCGCCGGGCCCGTGAGCCATGCTGCGGCCGGCCGGCCTCCGGGCATGGTCCCCCCGGAGCCCCTGCCCCGGCCCCAGGCTCAGCCCCAGCCCGCCTGGGGGGACCGCCGCCGTCGCCGCCGCGCCGCGCCGCAGGGCCGCCCCCCCGGCCCCATGCAGCGGCTCCCCTTGCCGGAGGGGAGGGGGCGGCGGGCCCGGGGCGCTGCCGCCGCCGCGGTCGCCGCCCGGATCCCCGCCCCGGCCCCTGTCGCCGCGCCCGCCCGCTGCCCCCGCCACTCGGCGCCCGCGCCCTCTCCCCGACCCGGTCTCCCCAGGAGGATCCGCCGGATCATAAGACCGGCCGGCCCCGGGGGAGACGGCAACTTTGGGGAGGGCGGCGGAGGGGAGGGGCCAGGAGGCTCTCTCCGCCCCGCGCCAGCCCGGGCCCCTCCCGCGGCACCCCGGAGGAGGGCGGGCCCAGGCGCCTCCCGGAGCGCGGCCCTCGCCCCGCGCCCCCGCCCGCCACCGCCGCGCGGCCCAGCCGGCGCACCCGAGCCTCACTCCCCGCGAGGGCCGCGCGGAGGGGCGCGCAGGAGGAGGAGGAGCCGAGGACCGCGGAGGGGAGGAGGGGAGTAGGGGAGCCACGCTGGGAAGCCGAGGGTTCCTCGCGCAAGTGCCCGCAGCGCCCGGAAGCGTCCAAAGGCCCAGATGCTGGGAGATGTGGAGGCCTCTCGGGGAACCAGGACCACTTCCACGATGACGCAATAGTCATGCCAAATTATACATGTATATTTCACCTCCACCCGGCAGGCCAGAGCCATCCTATCGGCCTCTAAGTGCACAACGGAACTAGAAATCAAGGAAGAGAGACCAAAAGGGTTAAAAAAAAAAAAAAAAAAAATTAAGGCGCGTGGGGTGGTGGGGGTCCTTGAGCTGGAAAGCAGAGACCCTGGCTTATTGCGTGGTTCCCCCACCACCACCACCATCCCCCCCCCACGCCTTCCGTAGCACGAGCTTGAATCATTTACTATGAAACCGGTGACTAAGGGAGATACAGCGTGTTGAACCACTGAAGCACGCCCCCCCACACACACCAGCCAGAAAAGGGATACCCCGTCGGCTCTGGACCTGGCAAATGTACCTGGGCTCCCCCTGGAGGCCACATTCTCCGAGGTCCCCTTTCGGTCCCCAGTGTCCCTCAGGTATTCCGTTTTAATCCCGGAGAACTGATACACCCTAGTGCTCTGAAACTTGGCCTGTGCTCGAGGCGGCAACCCCTGCCCCTCTGCCTGGCGACGCTTGAACACATCCGTCTGGCCAGGTCCCCATTCACTGGCCAAGAGTGTAGCATTGAACATGGGGCACTGGGGCGGGGGTGCACTCCACGCTGACACCACACCCCACCCCTTAACTTGCTGACCAGGGATAATCGCTTCCTTTCATCGATTCACAGCGTTAGAAAAATGCAGCGTTGAGAGGCAGCGCGGAGGTCAACTGGACCATCATCCTTAGTTTGCAGGGAAGAAAACTGAGACCTGGAAAGATGAAGCAGTTGTTCCAAAGGCTGCTCCCAGTACTCAAGGACTTGGAGCACACTTGGGGAGATTCTCACTGTTGTATTCCCATTCCTCACTTTTCAGGAGGCCTGAACTCTCAAACTCCGAATCTGATTTCCACTCTCCCAGGAAGGCTATGGAAATAACGGAAAGTTCCTTGCAGATTCTCACTGAGCCTCTCCCCAGGCCCCACCCTTTGGCCCTGTGTGTCTGCGAGTAGGAATGCGCATTGCTAGCTACTTTCGATGCAATGAACCTGGAAGATATTTTGTATGGACTGAATAACAGGTTGAGGAAGGCAGAACAGTGCCTTCAGGTCAGTTCCTGGTTCAAAACCGGCCTCTGCCACTTGCTCTTAGAGGTAAAGAGAGCAGGGCCTGCCCTGTTCTTCGCTTGCAGGACCATTTGTTCAGGCAGCTTTTGCAGGGACTCGTATTCCGAAAGGAGGGTCTATCCAGGAGCTTGAGAAGGAGAGCACTCAGCCACGAGAGGTGAGTTTGGTCCCAGCTCTGACCCTGGTTAGCAGTGTTACCTTGAGCATGTCACTTCCTTTCTCTGGGCCTCCATTTTCTCATCTATAAATGTGAACTAAGAGTAGGAGAAGCTCTGGGAATGTCATAGCACTCCAAGTGGGGAACTGATGTCCGATGAATCATGCAGTGGTGACTTCATTGGTGACAGTGACCTCATTCTTTTGGCCCACAGAGATGCCGAAACTGACTGCCAGGAATACTTAGAGCTCTGGGGCTGATCCCACTTGGTGTGTATGTGGGATGGGGAGGGGGGCTATCCAGAATGCCCCCCTGTCAGCCCATGAATGCCTTAGCTGGAAGCACCAATCAGACCTCAACAGAAACCTCATTTTCCCATGAGCAAAGAAGATAATGTCCAAGTGGTTAAAAAAAAAAAAAAAAAAAAAAAAGGTTAAAGAAAAAGCTCTCAAATTTCAGGGATTGGAGACAGAAAGCACTTTGTTTCTGAATGCCCCATAGGCTGTCTGCTTGCTTCTCTCCTTTTATTTGTGCAAATGTTGAAACAGACACAGGTCTGTGTGAGAACAGCGAAATTTCTTTTTTTCTTTCTTTTTTTTTCCTCTTTTTTTTTTTTTTTTTTTTTTGGAGACAAGGTCTCGCTCTGTCGCTCAGGCTGGAGTCTGGAGTGCAAAGGCTTGATCTTGGCTCACTGCAACCTCTGCCTCCCTGGTTCAAGTGATTCTCCAGCCTCAGCCTCCAAGTAACTGGGATTACAGGCATGTGCCACCATGCTCGGCTAATTTTTGTATTTTTTTGTAGAGGGGGGTTTCGCCATGTTGCCCAGGCTAGTCTCGAACTCCTGAGCTCAAGGTGATCCGCCTGCCTCAGCCTCCCAAAGTTCTGGGCTTACAGGTCACTGCACCTGGCTGAGAACAGTGAAATTCCTAATTAGCCTTCTCTTACTCTTTTTCCTCTACTCCCTCCTTCCTCCCCTACTTAATTCATTCCATATTTCAATTAACAAGCATTTATTGAGGTCTGTTAGATGCCAGATTTTATTCCTGGGCAGGGGACAAAGAGCTGGAAAGCCACAGTCACTTCTAGCTAAAGCATTCAAGGAACTTATTAGCAAACAGGCAAGCACTCTATATAGTGTGAGCAATGCTGTGCTAGAGAATAGAGAATAGGCTTCTGGAGGTGCAGAGGAGGCAGTTAGTACATAGCTCCGGGTGTGCTGAGCAAGGATTTGCAGAAGTGATGTCATTGACCTGGGGCTTAAAAGTCTAATGGGAGTGAGGTAAGAATGCCTGGGAAAGGCCAAGAGCCCTGCATCAAAGCAAGAAGGAACAGTACACAACTTTCTGGGAATGGTGAGGCATGTAAGATGGACAGAGTGCATGATTAGTGGTGCTGGGGAATTGGTTTGTATTTAATTGGGAACCATATAATGCAGGCAGTCCATGAGCTTCTGAAAGACATATAAAGAAGAATGCAGGGTCTGGCATGGGCTGGGCAGTCTCCACTGTCCAAAGGCCAAAGGCCAGGACCAACGGGGCCACTGAGGAAGAAATATGGTCCACACGCTTACTACAAAGGCATGGCCCCAGCTCAAAGCTGTGTTCATTGCAAGAAGGGCACTTTTTTCTTGTCATAGATATGACTTCTGTTTGTCAAACCCTGTGCCCATAGGAGTGTATCCACTCAGAGGGGAACCTTGGTCTATGTAGCAAAAGATGAAGGCACTGTCTAGGCAAGCAGTGGTTCTGGGAGCAAGGATGTAATGAAGGGAATAAACACAAATTTCTAGAGCATCTGCTGTATACTTTATCCACTTATGGTCCCAGGTATTTGGTGCTCATTGATATAGGACATCTTATTTCATCTCCCAAACAACCTTGTAAACTTTGTAGAGAGTATCTATTGGTTTTTGTCTATCCAGAACAGCACCATTTGCTTCTGCTAAATGTTTTTATAATGGAATCTCTGTAATCATGTGGTTTAAATGGAAGCTGCCATCTTCTTATACATCCTGACCCTGGTACCTGTTGAGCCCTAGGTGGACACCTGATTCAAGATGGGACAATTAGAAATTAGAACTGTTTCCTGAATTGTTTTTTTTTTTTTTGTTTTGTTTTTTTTTTTTTGAGACAGAGTCTCACTCTGTCTCCCAGGCTGGAATGCAGCGATGCTGTCTTGGCTTACTGTAGCATCAACCTTCCAGGTTCAAGCAGTCCTCTCACCTCAGCCACCCAAGAAGCTGGGATTATAGGCATGAGCCACCAAGCCTTGCTTAAGAATTTTGAATTTGGGATTCACAGCAGGAGTTTCTCCTCTTTTGCTAACTGAACTGGGCAATGTGAGGCTGGAAGCTGTAGGCCGTTCATGTTTCAGCCATTCACAAAGTAGCCAATACAAGGAAATGTAGCTAAAGTGCAGAGAGAAGCAAAGATAGAGAGAGAACACCACCACCACTACCACCACCACCACCACCACCACTACTCCCCCATCAAAAAGGGCAGAGAGGAAACAGGCCATGTGTGAGTGACTGATTTGCATTATCCCCGAGATCCTGTTGCACAACTGTTCTCCAGTTGGTCAGTTGAGTTAATAAATCTTCCCCTTTTTTTTACCCAGTGAGTAGGGGTTAGTTTTCTGTAACTGGTAACCAAAGGAATCCTATTACAATATTATAACTATAGTTCAGATAGATGATGAGATTAAGAAGCTTGCCCCAAATCACACAGCTGGTAAGTGGCAGAGCTAGGTTTCAAAATCATCTGTCTTCAGAGCTCATGCATTTGCCATATTTCGTATTGACAAGGTATCAAACGTTTTTGAGTAAAAATATGACAAGCTTAGACCTGTCATTTGAGAAGGTCACTCTGGGACTCATAGAAAATGGATTTGGAAAGGATAAGGGTGAAGGTAGAAAGAGCCAGGAGGAGACAGATCACAACAGCCTGACCCAAGCATGGGAGTAAACATGAAGAAGAAGCAGTGGGTTTCCGGGAGATTCGGAGGATAGAATCACAGGGCTTGTTAGCAGTGTGGGGATGACAGAGGAGGCGAGAGAGAACAAGGTTTTTACGATAACTCTGAGGCATCTACATTATGATTTCATCTACTTTCTTCTTTTTTTTTTTTTTTCTTTTTAATGTCCTCTGTTGTTATCTTCCCACTTCTTCTTTGGACTTCTTCCTTGTTTTTTAAGCCTTTCCATCTCCAATTGTTTCCTAACCACGCAACTGACTGTCTAAATCAAGCTGAGATTAGAACTCTAGAGGACAGTATGTTCTAAAACACATTCATTTGCATCATTTTGTGTGTTCCCTCATGTCTGCTTAGGAAATGGAAAAATGGACTCCAAGGGATCATTTGGTGTTGTGGCTAGGATGCTTTAGGTTGCAAGTCATAGAAAATTCAACTCGAACCAGCTTCAGCAATGAGGGAAGTATATAGACTTCTGTAATGGAAAAATCCATAAGTAGTCCAAGTTTCAGGAATGAATTGATAAGAACTCTCTCTCTCTCTCTTTTTTTTTTTTTTCCTGCACATCTCTCAGTTTTTCTTCTTCTCTTTGGGTCAACTTTCTACTTAGCATACCTTCTTTCCTGGAAGCAAAATGGTTGCACCAAGTCCAGGCATCACCATCCATATACCATGTTTCCCAGAAGGAAAGAGAGCTTCTCTTGACCCACTCGTTAAACAAAGTCTTAGACTTCTTCTGATTAGCTCAACTTAGTTCATCCCTGAACCAATCATGGTGCGTAGTAAACTGTCAGGTGACTGTTGCCTTAGGCCTGGGCTACTGTCCATCCCTAAAACCATCACTGTGGCATGGAGTTGGGACTATCCTAATTGGGCCTATCAGCCCTGCCCCTACAGGGGCTGGGGTTTCACACCTACCCAGGTTCTATGGTTTCTGCACAGTGGGTGACAAGTTTGGGGAAATGCATGCTGAGAAGGCAACCAGCAATATACATCTACATTGTTGCTTAAGGGTCAAAGTTCCTAGGCCTTCCCCTGGCTACCCTGGAAAAAAAGAATTTTAGGAGAGGCCAGGCATGGTGGCTTATACCTGTAATCTCAGCACTTTGGGAGGCTGAGGTGGGAGGATCAGTTGAGGTCAGGAGTTTAAGACCAGCCTGGCCAACATGGTGAAACCCCATCTCCACTAAAAATAGAAACATTAGCCAGGTGTGGTGGCGGGCGCCTGTAATCCCAGCTACTCAGGAGGCTTGAAATGGGAGACAGAAGTTGCAATGGGCTGAGATGGTGCCACTGCACGCCAGCCTGGGAGCCAGAGCAAGACTCTGTCTCAAAAAAAAAAAAAGAAGTTTAGGAGAGAGGCAAATGTTAAGAGGAGAGGAAGGTGAGAAGGCTCCAAATCAAATCTGTGATTTGTTCCAAATTTCAGGTGGATTGTCAATACAGGAGTCCATACTGACTTTGAATCCCTAATTTTGGCCTGTATTCTTCTTCCTCTCTGAACCATCTTCTTGGAAGTCACTGGTAAGGAGATAAAATGATGGTCATTCTTTAACACTTCTTCCCACCACAATGCCCAGAATCCTCACAATGCAGCCTCTTCACTCCCCAGGGTGCCTATTGGCCTTCCCTACAGCATCCTGCCACATGCCCTACCTATCCCTATCCCTATTTTTCTCCCTGCCACTAAAACCTCCCATTGGCACCCTCTTCTCTTAGTGCTCCAGTGTATGTACACTGCACAATATTCTGAGCTAAGGTATTAATGACTTAAACACCACAGCAATTTCTTAAAGGTAACTGGTTCCTAATGATCAGGCTGATAAATAAACCCAGTAGGATTGGTTTGCCTGGTTTTCATTCCCAGTTAGAATGTACATAGATCTCTTTTTCTAGTTCATTACATACCAGAAACTCAGAAGTATGGCCCAGCCTCTGAGAACTTCGGCTCAAGCACTGTTAATGTTTTGCCATTTTCATGTCTAACTGTTTTCTGCCAAAACCTAAGTTCAGGAGATTAGTCATTATTACTGATGGTATCATCACCCATTGCCGAACTATAGCAAAGGACATTTCCTTACAAGTTGCTGGTATGGAATACTCATAAGATTCAGGAGTGGTCTCCTCTCATAGGCTCCAAAGGAGGCTAGATCACAGATCCCTCCTCCAAAAATGAAATTAATTATTTTATTTTGTGTTTCAGCATCGAGAGTGCCAGAAAAACATCCCAAGACCCACACAGGGTTGTGCCTCATAGTGGATGTTTTGGCCACTGGACATCAGAACCACATTTTGAGTTTGAAGAATATTCTACATGGTGAGCCTTGGTGGGAAGAAAAGAATATCCCTTCCTTATAGAAGCTGAAATTACAGACTCTTGCTTTCCTTGTCAGACTTAAAAGCTAGTGTAGCTAGAGTTAAATACAGGGCACATTGTCTCTGGAGACTGCAGCTTTAGTGGTGGGTACACAATTCAGTTCCTGACCCAGGAAGTGGCACATTAGGGCAGGCAGTGAGGTTGGTTGTGGTATAATTGAGTTCCTGGTTCAGAAGTGACAACTGTACACATAGGATGTCTAGGGTTTGGTGAAAGCAATGGTATTGAAAGTGGTTTTCTCATCAAATTAGTTCCTGAGTCATGTGTTGGACACTGTTTCTATCTTGAGCAGCTTCTCTAGCCTTTCTACAATCCTGTGACCTGCCTGTGATCCTTTTAAGATTTCTTTTCTGTTTCATCAGCCACAAACAGCTTCTGTTGCTTGCAACCCAGGCTCCTGAGAAGGGACTGGAGAAGCAGATCACTTTATTGATGTGCTTCAGGTAGAGAGAGTAGAGATTTCCACCTCCACCATACCCAAATAGCTGGTACTAGACGTACCTTTCTAATGTGAGCAACTTTAAAATTGAACAGAATATATGAAACCTCTCTTTTCAAACATTGAACAGCATGTAGCACAGGACTGTGATTCCTGAAAGTAGCGAACAAATGGGGCAAACCCTACTATCACTCTAACTTTCTGCTGAAAATGCTCTCTGGATTGTAGCACAATGAGGGGGAACCCAAGCAGAGCATAGTGGTCTTGCCGAGTTGAGGAGATAGTTGAGCAGACTTTTCAAGGCAGAGTATCAGAGAGGAGAGAATATAACAGCAAAAAAGTCTCCTGGGATTCGTTTGAATCTGTTGCTGAATACTAAGCTGCACATGCATAAGGTGAAACTTCACAGTGCTAGGCAAAGAACTACCACGGAGCTGTGAGCTGATTGGTTCCCAGGGCTCACTGGGCAGTGTTTGAGTTTCAACTCACCAATGTGAAGAAACCTTGCTGACTGTCCAGGGAATTCAATAGAAATCCTGAAAGGGTAAGGCATTAGTAGAAGGGCTAACTAAGCCCAAAAGTAGAGGTAACTCTAGACTTCCTCCAATAAGGTTTAGAAAGCAGCCTCAAAAAGAGGAAGTTCATCATACCATAAGTGCCAGCCAAAACAAATTTTACCATTTTTAAAGCCACAACAAAATACAGACATTTAACAACATTGAATTCAGAATGTTAAAAATACTAGGTATGCAAATAAGTAGGGAAATAGAACCCCAAATCAGGAGAAAAATCATGTAATAGAAACAAACCCCAAAATGACAGAGATAATAACGTTAGCAGACAAGGACTTAAAAAATTAAATTAAACACAACGATTTAAAGGAAAACATGAACATAGTGAAGAAAAACCTGGAAGATATAGAAAATAACCAAATGGAACTTGTGGAGCTAAAAAATACAACACCTGTAATGAATAATTCAGTGGCTGAGCTTAACAGTAGATTAGACATTGTGGAATGAAGTATCTGTGACACTGAAGACATAGCAGTAGAAACTATCCAAACTAAAGCAGAGAACAAGGAAACCAAAGAAACATGGAAACACAGAGCCTCAATCACCTTAAGATGATATTAAATGATTTAATGTACACACATAACTGGAGTCCTCGAAAGGGATTAAGGGTGGTGATTTGAAGACATAAGGCCAAAAAGTCCCAAATTTAATGAAAACTATAAACATATAGATCCAAGAAGCTCAACAAATCCGAAGTAGGATAAGAACAAAGCAAACCATATCAAGCGAGGCACTTCATAATTAAATCACTGAAGACCAGTAATAAGTAGGAAAAAATTAACAGCAGAGAGAAAAAAAGACACATTTTATACAGGGAACAAAGACAGATATAATTGCAGACTTCTCTTCAGAAATAATGCAAACTAGAACTTAATGAAATCGCATCTTTAAAGTGATAAAAGAAAAAGAAAGCACTGTCAATCTAGAATTCTATATCCACCAGAAATATTCTTTAAAATTGAAGGTAAGATAAATGTTTGTCAGACAATAAAAGGCTTGAAGGTTTTTTTTAAACCAGAAGATCTTCAATACAAGAAATACGAAATAAAGTTCCTGAGGCAGAAAGAACATGGTACCAGATGAAACCACTGGCCTACACAAAGAAATGAAGAGCACAAGAAATGCTAAATATATGGGTAAATATGAGACATTTCTTTCTCTGTTAAAAAATTCCTTTAAAACATAATTGATCTTGGCCGGGTATGATGGCTCACACCTGTAATCCCAGCACTTCCGGAGGCTGAGGCAGGTATATTGCTTGAGCCCGAGAGTTTAAGACCAACCTAGGCAACATGGCAAAACCCTATCTCTACAAAAAATACAAAAATATAGCTGAGTGTGGTAGCACACTCCTATAGTCCCAGCTACTCAGGTGGCTGAGGTGTAATGATCACTTGAGCCCAGGAGGTCAAGGCTGCATGAGCTGAGATCATGCCACTACACTCCAGTCGGGGTGATAGACCCAGACCATTTCTCAAAAAAAAAACCAAAAGCCAAACTATTTTATATATATATATATGCATATACATACACACACACTATATATATGATATAACATCATATATAATGTTAGATATATAACATTAGAGATATATATATATATAATTAAAAATAAAAAACACAATTGACCATCTAAAGCAAAACTAATAGCCGTATATTACATGGTTTATAACATGTAGAAATAAAACCTATAAAAATAATAACAAAAGGGATAGAAAAACAGAAATAGAACTATATTCTTATAAAATTCTTACACTGCACATTAAGTGGTATAGTATTATCTGAAGGTTGTCTTAGTCTCTTCCTGCTGTCATAGCAATCTACCATAGACTGGGTCATTCATAAATAGTAAAAATTCATTTCTCATCGTTCTAGAGGCTGGGAAGCCTAAGATCAAGGAATCAGCAGATTTGGCATCTGGTGAGGGCTCACTCTCTGCTTCCAAGATGGCATTTTGTTGCCGCATGCTCCAGAGGGAAAGGAACAAACACTATGACCTCACGTGGTAGAAGGGAAAAGGGGGTTAAAACAAACAACAAAAAACTCTCTTAAGCCCTTTTATAAGGGCACTAATCCCATCCATGAGGGCTCTCCACTTCCAAATTACCTCCCAAAGTTCCCACCTCTTAATACCATCACCTTGGGGTTTAAGTTCCAACATAAATTTTGGAAGGATACATACATTCAAACTATAACAAAGGTAGACTAAGAAAAATTAAAGATGCATGTCGTAAAACCTAGAGCAATCCCTGTAAATAAATAAATAAATAAATAAATAAATAAATAAATAAAACAAAGAGGTATTTCTAATAAGCCAACAGTAAAGACAAAGTGGAATACCCAAAAAGAAAAAAAAATCAAAAAGAAAGTCAGGAGGATGCCAAGATCATTCAATGGTCTTAGGAAAAGAGTAGTCTCTTTAATAAATGGTGATTAGACAAACTAGATATCCACATGCAAAAGAATGAATCTGGATCCTTCCCTCTCAACATATACAAACATTTACTCAAAATGAATTGACAACCAAAAGATATGAGCTAAGACCATAAACTTTTAGGAGAAAACCTAGGGATAGATCAACAGTTTCTTATATATGATGTCAAAAGCATAACAACAAAAGCAAAACCAAAACTGGACTTCATAAAAATTAACAAAACTTTTCTGCATCAAAGGACAGTATCAAGAAAGTGAAAAGACAACATACATAATGAGAGAAAATACTTAAAAATCAAATACCTCATAAGACTCTAGCATCCAGAATGTATAAAGTTATCTTATCATTCAACAATAAAATGACAAATAATTTATTTTTTAAAGGGGCAAAAGACTTGAACAGACATTTCTCCAAACAAGATATAAATCACCAACAAGCACATGAAAAGGTATGCAACATCATTAGTAGTTAGTCATTAGGTAAATGTAAATAAAAACCTCAATGAGGTACCCCTTTACACCCACTAGGATGGCTATAATTAGGGCTAGGGGAAGGAAAATAAGTGTTGGTGAAGATATGAAGAAATTAGAACCCTGTTCATTGCTAGTGGGAACGTAAAATGGTTCAACCTCTGGAAAACAGTTCAGAGGTTCTTGAAAAAGTTAATTATAGAATTACAAAAAGACCCAGCAATTCTAGAGCTAGGTATATATCCAAAATAATTGAAAACAGGTCCTCAAATAAATACATATGCATACCATGTTCACAGTGGCACTATTCCCAGTAGCCAAAAGGTGAAGACAGCTCAAATGTTTATCAATTGGTGAATGGATAAATTGTGGTATATTGATACAGTGGAATATTATTAAGCCATAAAAAGTAATGAAGTGCTGATACCTGCTACAATGTGGATGAACCTCAAAAACATTATGCTACATGAAAGTAGCCAGACACAAAACGCTATATGTTGTATGTTTCCATTTACATGAAATATCCAGAACTGGTAAATTCATAGACAGAATGTACGTTGGTGGTTGCTATGGGCTGGGGATGGTAGGGTTTGAAGGGAAAATGAGGAGCAACTGCTTAATGTATATGAGGTTTCTTTCTGGAGTGATAAAAGTGTTTTGAAACTAGAGGCAATAGTTTTACAACTTTGTGAATGTAATAAATGCTACTGAAATATTCACTTTAAATTCACCTCAATTTCAAAAAATGTATCCACCAACCAAGAGAAAAAAAGTCAGGTAATATGGTTTGGCTGTGTCCTCACCCAAATCTCATCTTGAATTGTAGCTCCCATAGTTCCCACGTGCCATGGGAGGGGCCCGGTAGGAAGTAACTGAATCATGGGCTCGGGTCTTTCCTGTGCTGTTCTCGTGCTAGTGAATAAGTCTCACGAAATCTGATGGTTTTACAAAGGGGAGTTCCCTGTACAAGCTTTCTCTTGCCTGCTGCCATGTAAGACGTGTCTTGCTTCCCCTTTGCTTTCTGCCATGATTGTAAGGCCTCCCCAGGCATGCTGAACTGTGAGTCAATTAAACCTCTTTCCTTTATGTATTACCCAGTCCTGGGTATGTCTTTATTAGCAATGTGAGAACAAACTGATACATCAGGAAAAGAGGAAAAAAGGAAGAAAGAATAGCTGTTTAAAATGGGAAATAAATAGCAAGATAAAAGACTTAAATACAACCATACTGATAATTATATCATATATAGTAACACTTGGGGAGAGTGCAGGGCAGGTGGCCAGGGAAAGCAGGTAATAATGAGAATCTTTGTGTTTGAAGACGTAAATGACA